CGTTTTTGGTCAAGGAAAACTGAGCTTTTTGAAAACGCTCTCTAAAGTGGATAATTTTGAAAAAAGCATTTTGCGTAGCAGTGAGGACTGGGAAAATGGAGGCTTTCCAAGTCCTCACTGCATTTGATGCAGTGTAATGATGCATTTTAGTAATATGATGCAGTCTGATCCAGAAGTCTTTTGGTTTGGTGAGATGCAGTTTGGTCTGTTTAAGCCTCCTTTATGAATTTTTGGGATGTCCACTCCTAGAGAGATTGGCTGCTGTCTTGCTTTCCATGTGTCAATATCTTTTCTCACTGTAGAAAAACTGACTTCAAATATAAAATTGTTTTGTAACCATTCACAGACTGACAGGCAGCAACAACATGTTTCCTAAGATTATCTGATGATCAGAAAAGACACTGGCTGTAATGAAACCTCCATTTCATTTGAAGCTGTTGAACTTTGTTTGTGTAACCCAGATGTGTCTGCTGAAATACCCCTGAAGCCAGTTAGGCAGGAACTAGTGACATCTCAGAGGGCTGATACGTTTTTAACTAAATGATTTAAAGCTGTTAAGCCTAAAGAGCAGGTTTGACACCTGTGGCTGTGACGTTGGGGGTCAGTACTGCAGCAGGAAGCACTATTCACATGTTCCCATGTCTTACGTTGGGATCTCGCAAGTTTGTTCTTTCTTCATGTCAACATGTCAAAAAGTACATCCATTATAAGAAGAGTCAGATAAACCATGGCCCTCATTTACTTCCATGTGTGTGGAAATGTTTTTACCAGCAAAGAAACAAAAAAATGCAAAAACACAAACACAGTGCCTAATCTCTCTGGCTGTCCACAAAACAGGAGCAAACTCACATAAATAAAATGGCAAAGAACTATGCTAATCTTCCACTAACATACAAAAAAATCACAACACCGTAACACAGACCACACATGTTAACCATCACTTTCCAAGATGACGTCAAGCGCACACTGACCAGCAATAATCCTGCAACCACAAAACACAGAGCCCAGTGTTGCTGCTGGAGCTAGATATGCATGTACACAAATGAGCAGCTGTTCAGGTGTGGCAAACAAGGAATACAGAGAGAGCAGCTCTCTTTCATGAAGAGGCCAAAAGGTGACTGGACGTAACAATAACATTTAACCAACAGGATTAAGTGTTTCTGGTAGATTTTTCATGTGCTGTGTTAGGTTGAACCAGATGGATAGATAGTACTTACATTAATAATGATCCATGTCACATCTATATTTGTATTCCCTCATTTAAGCCTTTATTACTTTTTCTTATTTTGTTACATTTTAAAAATTTTGTTCGCATTGTATATCCGCAGTGTGTTTAGGCGGGTGTGTTTCTGTAGTTAAATAAGGGATGAAGTAAACAGTTCCATAAAGTGACTCCCATGCATATTCCAAGTTTCTATCAGATTTTGCAGACTGACAGCAAGTCCTCACTGACTGGTTAAGTCCAAGGCAGATGCAATGAGCAGTCATTACCACAGAATGATTATGTATGCAGTAAATTCTCAAGATTTACTTTGTATAATTGAAATTATACAATATAGCGAAAGAGGAAAAATTAAATTTGCAACTCAATTATTGTGATAGTACTCTAGGTATGTCTCAAAAGTATTCAAACCACGTTAGACAAGCTGCAAAGAGATGAGGTACCTGAGCTGTTTTATTAAGGATCACTTTTCAGTTCAAGTAAGAGAAACTGAATCCTCATCTGGACTTTCCTGTGAGTTGATTTCCAGACGTTTGTCTGTATTTCAGGAAGCATGTTTATGTGATGTTTAGCACTGTCACCTCACAGCAATAAATAAGAAATTTGCATGTTGTTTCCGGGTACTCCAGCTTCCTCACACAGAATATTTGGTCAGCTGGTGACTGGTGTGAACTGATAAAGTGCACAGAGCTTAAGTGGGACTTAACACATAATCCTTTTACTACTGTAAATATATGTTAAGTGAGTGTGAGAAACAGACACATTTAAAGAATTTAAATGTATCTACACTGTAACTTGTTGATTTTTACATTTTGTTTACATACATCAGGAAGTATTACCCTGACTTGTGAAGGTAAAGACAACTGCGAGGGGAGCTCCACCTCCAAACCATTGCAAGTCTTTGTCAACAACCAGTTTATCAATGTTGCACAACCGTAAATATGTCTTAGTTGTACTCCGTTATTAAACATCGCAGCGGTATTTTTTTTAAGAATTGCTTGTGATGCATGCTTTTTCCATCACCAGCTGTACATTCCTTCTTACACGGAAAAATCTGTTTGCCGTCCTCAACTCCACAGAATAATTAAAAAGCACTCATTAAATTTAAATTTGTTCAAAACACTGTTAGTGTACTGCTGATGAGTTGGGATGCTTGGGTGTTCCTGAACGTCCTATCAGGATGAACATCCAAATAACTTTTTCATA